GGTCAGGCTATGATTGGTGATCAAATTTAAATATGATTCTATATGAATTGTCTTCTAGGGAACAGCAAAGCTATGTTTAAGGATGATGTTTATTCAGATGACAAAAAATTTCAACTGATAAGATTAAAAAACCACCAATTGTATATTTTAGAACTATGATTGTAGTGTTATTATTCACTTTTAAATTACTAGGTCAATGACCTACTTTTCATGCTGGCAGCCCCTGAGTATTTTTCAGGAAATACATCAATTTTTTACATAATAACCTATATTTTTAGGTCACCTGAGTCACCCAGGTGACTTATTGCTATCTGTTTTTAACCGTCGGCATGCATCATGCTTAAACTTCTCACATTTTCAATATCTTCTGAAGAACAACTGGACCAATTCCAATCAAATTTGCCACAAATTATCCTTGAGTGAAGGGGATTTAAGTTTGTTCAAATGAAGGACATTGTTCTCTTCCAAGGGGAGATAATCAAGAAAAGACAAAAATAGGGGGGTGGGGTCATTTAAAAATCTTCTCTAGAACCACTGGGCTAGAAGAGATGCAATTTATATGAAAGCTTCCTAACATAGTGTAGATTTAAGTTTGTTGAAATCATGATCTTTAGGGGTACGATAGTCCAGAAAAAGGGGTTCCAATGTTTACTTAGATCATGGATACTAATTGCAGGAAACATATCATAAAATAAAATTAAACAGCAAAACATGGATTGTTTTACCTGAATAGTATGTAAGCATCATTATATTATACTGAGGCACATTTTTTGACATAGTTATATGATTGTTCTAGAACCAAAAACGACATTTCATGTGTGATCGAGTTGAACATGACATTTCGAGTGGTGAGTGCGAGGCTATAATACCTGGAAGGTGTTTACAGTACTGCACTGTCACTTTGGAGTTTATTTTCAGTTATTAGCAAAACCCACAGGTCCAAGGCCCGAGGCAAGTAAAATTGGCTGGGGGCCAGTAAAGCTCAAAATCAGATAAGTCCTATGGGCATGCAGGAATTAGGCCCAAATTTTAAAGCTAAAAAGCAGGACTGGTATTTTCCCCAAATTAAAAAAAAAATCAAAGTTGTATGTCTCCATTGGTCGTTAATCTCCTTCACCTAATACACTTAGCAGTACTACATGATATACTTACTTATTTGTAAAAACAGTCGTCTTTTTTTTCTTAATCCGAATTTCCTCCATTCCTCTGTTCATGCAAAATATATGAAGATAAATAAAATCGCAACCGTATTGACATTTAAAATATGGATAGTTTTCACAATCAGCAATTGGGAAAATAATCATCATCTTTTTTATGATTTATGTATAACAACGAATTGAAATAGTCTACCTAGTAAATATTCTTTTCATTGTTTTATGATTTTTTTAAAATGTAAAATGCCTTCACAAAATAAATTGTTGCCAGTTATTTTCTTAATTTTACTTACCAAATATACCGCTGGTCATAAATATTTTTTTTTTTAGATTAATAACTAATAAAACACACTTATCTTGAATTTATTATTAAATGCATTTGTTTTTGGAAGTTATAAATTCATTTATCGCTAACATAAAATAGGTTGACTTAGAAACCATTAAAAAATAATAAATTTTCTTGAAATGTAAGAAGTGAAACTTCCTCGTACCCAAGGGGTACTCTGAAATATTCAACGATGGCTTCTGTGGGAATTTTAATTGTCTGATTGATAAAGGGATATACACTGTGTACAAAAAGGTGTTAACACCTGTGTTGGGTCAATCACCTGCGGGGCATGATTAACAGATCCACGTGCCGTAATAGGGGTACGCGGGCTGACTTATTAGTGCTACACATCATTGAACTTAACACTAGAGCTGTGAAATTCATGATGACTGTTAAATTGTGAATGTACTCTCAATTAAATTTATTTTTACAACAATATCACATGCAAAATTAGAGCATGAAAATATGATTAATTTCAATTGCTTACTAGTACATGTAATAGTCATTTGTGTGTGTTAGCAAATCCCTAGCCAAGAAAATACAAAAATGGCAGTCATCAAAGTTGGTGAATCCATGAATATTGTAAATAATGTTTAAATGAAATATATTAAGAATGTGTCCATGATGTTCTAAAATGGAAATAATTATTGTTTGGTCTAGAGTATTTCCCTAATAAATAGCTATTGTATACTACCATATTTATGGATATTTGTTTAATGACAGCATCAAACTACAACAGCAGTGAACAGGCAACTTGGAGAAAAATACATTGTAGCACAATTCAAGGAAGTTTCAACTGAAGAAACGTTTGTATATATAAAACCCAATTAAAAATGTTTTAGACAAATATATTACTTTGGGCCATAATAAAAAAATACTTAGATTCTCATCCGAAGTTTTTGAAAAATCGAGGTGGGCGGATGGATTTTATTTTATATTTTTTATTTTTTCCATTGTGCAGACTTTTTGTTGAACTGATCAATCGGTGCAGATGTATTTATAATGCCTGAATAAAAGTCATAGTAGAGGTCCATTTAAATATGCATATCTCTTACAACACATCATCACCAATCTTTCACAACCAATGATCCCTGTTTAATACATATTACAACAGTTACCATCTTGTCAGCTGTCAAAATTATGCCAACATTCGTGGGATTAAAAATGAAAGTTGAATGGAAGTTAAATACTGATCCTGATCAGAATTAAGACGAAGAAAAACAGAAATAGGAAAATCAAGGTGGGGGTAAACCAGAAGTCTCTGACGAGACTGTAGCTCTACTGGTTTGTACTTATAATGAAGGAAGATAAAAGTAGCACTTGGACTTGAAACTTTGCAACAGCAATAAATAGAATAATGATCCTTGGTTTAGTCTCTTTTTGTGGCAAGATTTATTGCAATCAGACTAAAACTGTTGGAGGAGTAGCCTTTTGAAAGAATTTTACAGAAATTGCGATTTTAGTACCATGGCAACATCATTCAACAAAATCAAAAAAAAAAACATTAAAGACAATTATGTATCTTAGTGTAGTCTACTTGTGTGCCAAGTTATACTGAAATTAGACTAAAACTGTAGGAAGAGTAGCATTTTGAAAGTATTTCACAGAAATTTTTATTTTTAGTAACCATGGCAACACCGTTCATCGAAATCAAAAACCAATAAATAGAATTATGTATCTTAGTATAGTCTACTTGTGTGCCAAGTTATACTGAAATCAGATCAAAACTGTAGGAGGAGTAGCATTTTGAAAGTACCTCAAGGAAATTTCTATTATTAGTAACCATGGCAACACCATTCATCGAAATCAAAACAAAAAAAAAGATGTACAGAATTATGTATCTTAGTGTAGTCTACTTGTGTGCTAAGTTATACTGAAATCGGATCAAAACTGTGGGAAGAGTAGCATTTTGAAAGTATTACAGAGAAATTTCTATTTTTAGTAACCATGGCAACACTGTTCATTAAATTCAAAAATCAATACACAGAATTATGTATCTTAGTGTAGTCTACTTATATGATAAGTTTTATTGAAATCAGATCAAAACTGTAGGAGGAGTAGCGTTTTGAAAGTTTTTCAAGGAAATTTCTATTTTTAGTAACCATGGCAACACCGTTCATTGAAATCAAAAACCGATACACAGAATTATGTATCTTTATGTAATCTACTTGTGTGCCAAGTTTTATTGAAATCAGACTTAAACTGGAGGAGGAGTAGCATTTTGAAAGTATTTCCCAGAAATCTCTATTTTTAGTAACCATGGCAACACCATTCATCAGAATTTAAAATCAATACACAGAATTATGTATCTTAGTGTAGTCTACTTATGTGCCAAGTGATATTGAAATCAGACCAAAACTGTAGGAGGAGAGCGTTTTGAAAAATTGTTTTTCAGACGGACGGACGGACAGACAGACAGACGGATGGACGACGGACACCTTACTATCGCATAAGCTCTTCTGGTGTCTGACCAGTAGAGCTAAAAATCGGGGTGGGCGGGGATGAGAATCTAGGAAATTTTTATATTATGGCCTTATTATCAGTACGATAATGTCACGGTTTACAAGATGTTTTTATGTTCTGATACGTAGTATCTACGCAAGGATTTCTAGAAAATTGATAGACGCCTCGTCCTATGCTCCGAATTCGCCCTAACAAAGTTTTTTTTTTTAAATTAAGGCTAAAAATAAGCCTTTCGACCTGTATACCCCATTGACATATAGTCCAAAAATTACGGTAATAGAAAAAATCTGCTGATGAAGAACAGCATGACCATATTGATTAAGATGAGTATTGTGGCCCATGGGCCTCTTGCATTTTCATTACTTCCTGAACTTTTATGCTTGCCACCTTTTTTACATGCCGAGGATGGCTTTGCCCTTGTTCAATTTGTAGGTGCATTTTGTACTGCAAATCTGCAGTTGACTTTAAACTTCTAGCCCTCTTATCTCATTTTCTTTTTCTCTGCCTTTCTAATATCCTTGCTATCAAACTCCCCAAAAGACGCACTGTCTGAGTCTTCCATGACTGATAGGATGTCAGATTTTTCTGGCGAGGACATGCATGTTAGTTTCACAACAAAAATTATATCTCACTGTATTATTACGTTGAGAATTCTAAGAAACAGTAAAATACACTGAAATGTAGAACTTTGATAAACATGTGAAGTTAAGACTTTCTCTTAACTCCAAATTAAATTAAAAATTCTCAGCGTATACCTTAAAGCCCGCATGGCATGTGTCAAGAAAAATATGAGTGATTTCGGCATGGCGGTTGATATTTATTACTGGTGATTTCATCTTAATTCTTTGGATAGGAAGCCTGCATGTTATTAGTCAAGAAATATGCTATTGATACTCTGAATGCCAAAGGCTGTATGAAAAGAATAAACTTAATTGCCTCTATACTCACATTGGAGCAGGAAGTATCAATTTGTGAACTCGGTGCTTACAGTTCCTCTGTTATGTTTTTGCATCATAGTAAGTGGATTATTAAATTATATACTTTATAATTTCCAGATTTCAACAAAGGGGACTTGGTTTCCTTGTTTGGACCTTTTCTAGAAGAAGAAGAGAAAACAAGACTAAGGCAAGATTGATCTTTAATGTCTACCAAGGTCAAAGATAAGGATTGACATTTTGTTTTGTCTTGCTTTAAATATTGCAAGGCATAAAGTGTTGTCATCTTTGTCTTATGTCCTTCCACATGTGCATCCATCAGACTTGCATTTAGCTCAGTTTCAGAGTTCATATATACCAGTACAGGGCTCTAATTGGTGACTAATTTAGTCACACCATGGCACCTAAAATTTTTGATTAGTGCCTAAAAATTTTCTGTAAATCACCAAATTGACGACCATTTAAATTGGCTTGACAATTGTCAAATTCAGAAATTTTTAACATTTTCAACAATTTTTATTTTTCGGAAGAGGTACGTGAAAAGAAATTTAAAAGAACAGAAAATTATTTTTAGCAATGGACATGTCGTGTTTTCTTTGTCACCCTTGTTTGTTTTTTCAGTAAGCAGTTAGGCATATGTGCGAATGACATTTCGTGTCGCGTCAGTGCATATAGAGCTCAGGTAGACTAGATAAGACAATAGTTGCCCCAGTAAATGTTGGCTTCAGAAAATCAATAATTATGAAATGCAGTAAATTAGACGTGTGATATGGTAATTTGTTTACCAATTTAAATTCTCACTCATAAGAGATATCGTCTACATATTAGTGTTAGGTCGTATATGTATGGACGAGAATGTTAATCTTGTAAACGTTCCTCTATATTATTATGGTTTTAAGGAATATTGAATTCCATCCAAGTTTCTTAAAAAGAAATGATCATTTAAATTTTTTTGAATATTGGAGTTTTACATGTTGAAGGTTGCATTTAACTGACATTTTTCTTTCTGATTTTTAAATAGATTTATGTTAATTTACGTATAGAAAGATAAAAGATGAGGGAAGGGGTGTTCAATCAAATATAAATATTTGAATAGCAAAATTGGTCTTTTTAGTGCACCTGAGCCGAAGGCTAAAGTGAGCTTTTCTGATCAAAATTTGTCCATTGTCTGTCATCATTGTCATAAACTTTTCACATTTTCGACTTCTTCTCAAGAACCACTGGGCCTATTTCAACCAAACTTGGCACAGAGTTTCCTTGGGTGAAAGGGATTCAAGTTTGTTCAAATGAAGGGCCACACCCTCTTCCAACAGGATATAATTAAGAAATAGTGAAAAATTGGGTGGGTGTATTTAAAAATCTTCTTCTCAAGAACCACTTTGCTAGAAAAGATGAAATTTATGTGAAAGCTTCTTGACATAATGTGATTCAATTTTATTCAAATCATGACCCCCAGGGGTAGGGTGGGGCCACAATGGGTGATCAAAGTATTACCAAGAAATATATAGGAAAAATCTTTAAAAATCTTCTTCTCAAGAACAGCAAAGCAATGATTGGTGATATTTACATGGAAGCATCCTCAGGTAGGGTAGGTTGTTCAAATCATGACCCCGGGGTGAGGATGGGGCCACAATGGGGGATCAGAATTTTACATAGGAATATTTAGGAACTTTAAAAATCATTTTCTCAAGAATAGCAGAGCCATGATTAATCATATTGACCCGGAAGCTTCCTCAGATTGTGTAGATTCAAGTTTTAAATCATGACCCCCAAGGGATAGGGTGGGGCCACAATGGGTTATCAAAGTTTTACGTAAGAATATATAGAAAAAATCTTCTTCTCATAGAATGAAGAGAGTACTAAATGAGTCGAAGACACTCATGAAGGTTTGGAATCTCTATGGTTTACGGTTTCGGAGGAATAGCGAAAACAAGGTTTTATTGCAAAAGGGATGACAACTTTTGAATGGGTCAAGCTTTGGGGACAAGCATGAAATCCTTAAAATAGTTTTAGAAAGACATATTATAGGTGCAAAGATATTCAGTATATGTCGAAAGGTTTTCTACAGAATCTCTGACAAAAAAGCTTTTAAAAATCAGCATAAACTACCATACATGTTTTCAAAGAGAGAAAGAGAGAAAAGTCATTAGCAACTGAAAAAAGAGAGAAACAAAGAAAAAAATTAACTGCCTCCAGCAGGATTCGAACCCCAGACAGTGGGACAAAGTTTGGATCGGTCATATCTGCAAAAAATGCACGCATCAAAATATTGAATACATATTTAGAATTCTTGTAAGACACTCTATAAACCCTGTAAATCCTAAAGAAAAAGATTGAAAAACAAAAAAGTTGCAAATTTAACATTTTTAAATTCACTTCCGTTCGCTACCAGAAGTATGAACGACGAAAAATAAAGGTCGATCACCATATCTCCATTCGATGTTCTATCAAGTCAGTGAGTTTCAATTTCATATCTTTAGCAGTTCTCGAGAAAATTAACGGACAAAATTCCATTCAAAAAATACAATTTTCCCCCAAAAATCGCGAACGGAAGTGAATTTCAAAAATGTGAGGGACACCCCTGGAGATATTTTCATGATGCATCTTCCCTGAGAAAATCTTTTCAATTGAACCACGCACAGCTGAGATATCGCCTGTACTATGAAAAGTGGAATAATAATAATAAAAAACAGAAGGAAAACAATAAGGTCTTCCGAAGGAAGTCGGAAGACCTTAATAATAAGAAACAGTAGAATCACTATAAGGTCTTCCGTGAAGACGGAAGACCTTAATAATAACAAAAAATAGTGGAAAAGAAACCTAAAAAAAACAAGAAGGTCTTCCGCTGAAGACGGAAGACCTTAATAATCTACCTCACTGCATGGAAATTCGATTTTTGGAACATTGTCAATTTGATTGGTAACATTTGCACTGAAACTATTTTACAAAACTACTCTCAGTGAAACTATAATTGTAGTTATTTACCAAAATTAAATCTTTTCTAGTTTTATTTTCAGTTGGTTACACTCCAGCACATACAAAAAACTGTTTCAAGTTACCCACTATGATACTTCTTCAATGCATTTATCTTTGTTGCCCGTCCCATCAAAGTTGCCAAATGGCACAAATACAGGGGTTGATGTATAACAAAGTAAATGTACTTGTATTTGAAAGGGTCCCTAAAAAATACCCAGATGATAGATTTTCCCTTAACTTGGTGTGTAGGCTGAAATTACATAGTATGGTATAAAGTTAGAGACTTTTTGTATTGTAGTTTTCATACAAAAAACCCCAGTTGGCTCCCTTAAAAAAAGTTTTAGGTAAATAGTCCCAACACATGTAAGAGTAATGCAGTAACCATTTTAAAAAAATGTTGCATCAAGATTACACAGTATATTTTGGCTCATCTTAGCTGAAAGCTCAAGTGAGCTTTTTTCTGATCACCTGTTGTCGTCCGTCCGGCTGTGTGTCCGTCTGTAAACTTTTCACATTTTGAATTTCTTCTCAAGAACCACTGGGCCAATTTTAACCAAAATTGGTACAAAGCATCCTTGGGTGAAAGGGAATTTAAGTTCTTAAAGCGAAGGGCCAAGCCCCTTCACAAAGGAGATAGAAAAGACAAAAATACGGTAGGGTCATTAAAAAATCTTCTTCTAAAGAATGACTGGACCAGAAAAGCTGAAACTTGAAGCATCCTGGAGTAGTGTAGATTCTAAATTGTTCAAATCATGACCCCCCCAGGGGTAGGTTGGGGCCACAATAGGGAATCCAAGTTTTACATTGAAATATATAGGAAAAATCCTTAAAAATCTTCTTCTCAAGAACCACTGGGCCAGAAAAGCTGAAACTTCTGTAGAATTTTCTTGAGGTAGTATAGATTTCACATTGTTCATCATGGCCCCCAGGGTAGGATACAGTCATAATTGGTTAATCAAATTTTACATTGAAATATGGAAGAAAAATCTTTGAAAGTCTTCTTCTCAAGAACCACTGGGCCAAAAAAGCTGAAAATTATGTGGAAGCATCCTGGGCTAGTGTTGATTCTAAGTTATTCAAATCGTGACTTTGAGGGTAGGGTGGGGCCATAATAGGGGATCAAAATCTTCCTGAGGTAGTGTAGATACTAGATTGTTCAAATCATGACCCCAGGGGTAGGATGGGGCCACAATAAGTATGACAAGGGGAAAATCTGGTGAAGAACAGCAGGGCCAAAGTTACTCAGGTGAGCTTTGTGACCCATGGGCCTCTTGTTTAGCTTACCTGTGCTGAAAGCTCAAGCAAGCTTTTTTGATCAATTTTGTTCATCTATCCATCTGTCCATCCCTATGTAAACTTTTCACATTTTCAACTTTTTCTCCAGAACCACTGGGCTAATTTCAACCAACCGAAGCATTCATGGGTAAATGGAATTCAAATTTGTTCAAATGAAGGGCCAGGCCCTCTTCCAAGGGGAGAGTTGATTAAGAATAAGTGAAAATTTGGTGACATCTTTTAAAAATCTTCCCAAGAACAAGTGGGCCAAAAATATCGAAACTTATGTGAAATATTCATTGCATAGTGTAGATTCAAATTATGACACCCAGGGGTCAGGTTGAGCCAAATGGGGGATCAAACTTGTACATAGGAAAAACTCTTCTTCTCAAGAAGGGGGTCAGGTTGGGCCAGAATGGTGGATCAAAGTTTTACATAGGAATATGTATCTGAAAAGATCTTCTTTTCAAGAAAACAAAACCATGATTAGTCATATTGATATGGAAGTATCTTCGAGTGTTGCAGATTTAAGTTTATTCAAATCCTGACCTCCAGAGGTAGGATAGGGACACATCTTTAAAAATCTTCCCAAGAACAGCAAAGCCATGCTTAGTCATATGAATATGGAAACATCCTCAGACAGTGAAGACTCAAGTTTGTTCAAGACATGATACCTTGGGGTAGGTTGGAGTCAAAACAGGAGTCAAAGTTTTACATAACAATATATTATAGGAAAAAGCTGCTGATAAAGAACAACAGGGTCATATTGACTCATGTGAGTGTTGTGGCCTGGGGGTCTCTTGTTTGTTGTCAGTTGATGCATCATCGGTCTTCAAAAAGTGTCAGCTTAAAAGTACTTCATCGTTATCTACTTTTGGAATTTTATGGCTATATTTAAATGCTCAGATACTAATTGGTATAGAATCACTAGATTTTGTC